ATTAACTTATGTAAACTATTGGCCTATTAATTTTAATTTATCTCAAGTCATTGCCTATTTTTCTCTTTCTCCCTAATATTTATTCTAATTTATATAGTTTTTATTTTTTATTTTTTTTGGAGACATTAATAATTAGTACTTGTTATATGTTTATTTATGTAATATATGATATTGCAGTTCACATTCAATTTGATGGCTAAGCATATAATGAGCTTGAATCCTGGAGTGGCTGAGACTGAGCAGTTGAAGAAAGCGTATATTAAAGTATAAAATTATTGTTGGTCCACTTCCTAACAATTTAAGTTTTTGGGATGGATTGGTAAATTAACATAGTATCAGAATGGGAGGTCCTAAGTTTAAATCCCCGTAATTGCACTCCTTATCCCCATTTAAATTGTCATCATGTGTTGGGTTTTTAATATATCTCGGGTTTAAATATTCACGTGTTGGGCATTTTAATTAATTTACTCACACGATTACCCATTGTCCAGCCCACACGTGAGAGGGAGTGTTAAAATATAAAACTATTGTTGGTCTCACCTCCTAACAGTTTAAGCTTTTAGGATGGATTGGTAAACTAACAGAGTACATCACTTTCATGAAAGGATTGGTGTCTCCACCTTTGAATTTGCCTGGAGCACCTTATAGAAAAAGCATTACAGGTGATAATATTAGTGATATTAATAAAAGTAAGAAATAATAAATGACTTTAATTTTTTTTTTTTTGATTGTTTGTTTTGCTTTGTTTTCACAGTCTAGATCAACAATTCTCAAGTTCATAAAGCGAAAAATGGACGAAAGATAGTCCTGTTCCAAAGACAAAAGAGGACCACTGCTGCATTCGCTTTTACAGCATTGAGTATAGCAACAGTTTGCGATCTCGTTCTTTTCAGGGGTTGAATTATGTGATTTGAACTGTTTTGCTCGAACTGAAAAATCTGAACTAAAAATTACATTGATTAATTCACGTTCTAACTAGTCTGCCTAAAAATTTTGGTCACACTTTATGATTAAATTGACAAGTTACATTTGTGTCGACTGTAATTTCCTGATGTAATTGTTCTTTGCTTACTGATGATATGTTTTTATTGCATACTCAATTATACCACTTTGATGAAGGTATTGAATAAAATGAGAAAGAACAGAGCATATAGCATTCCTTATGTTTTCATGTGTGCGTGTGTGTTTTTTTGGTACTCTTTTTTTCTGATAGAAATATGTTAAAATAATCTCAAGGAAATTAATGGTATCCCCTTTTTCTCTAATGCATGACCAAAAAGGATACCAAAAAAAAAAAAAAAAATCGATTGACGTGTCGAACTCTGTTAATCGACAAGTGCGTGCTAATTCTCTAGACAAAAAGACGGTATATAATTATCCTAAAAGAAAGTTCATGATTGTATATTATCTTCCTTTTATTATCGAGTTTAAATTTATAGTGACAAATTTAATTTAATGCGGATATAATTTTACAATCTGAAATTTGGCCCTTTGGATTGATCTCCAAATCCAGATGACAATACCTTTTTTGGGTGATTTACACATATACCAAAATTTGAATATCAAAGTTTAAATTTAGCAAATTTTTTGAAATATCACAAGAATAACAAAGTTTTATATCATTGTTATATCATTAAAATAATGATTATATCATTATATAGTACAAAATATGGTATTATTATGATAATTACTATGTCATTTTTGCTATATTTCTAATATTTAGAAATTTTTGTTAAATTTCAACGCAATGTAGTCTAATTATCACTAACCCTTTTTTGTATTAAAAAAAAAGAGAAGTGTCTATTTAATAGGATATACTCTAGTTAGACTCCTTAATTATACAACTGCTAATCCACACTTAATTAAGAATAGCGCTATATATAGACCACAGGCTCACAGCACAGAAAATAGTAATCATTCAACTTCTTCTCACGTCCTCTTCCCCCCCCCCCCTTTTTTTCCCCCCAAAAAAAAAAAAAAAAAAAAAAAAAAAATCCGTTCATATTCTTATAACCGATCAATAACCTTACAATGCATAAACAGAAACGCCTCTTTCCTTTCTCTCTCATACTCTCTCTCCTCTTCCTCTTTTCACTCTCTCTGATCCCCGCCACTGCAGCCAAAACTCCACTCCAGTGCAAGTCCACTCTCTACCCAAAATTCTGCCACTCCATTCTTTCGGCCTTTCGGCCCTCGCCGTCGGCCCACAATCCCTACGGCTACGCTAAATTCTTTGTCAACCAATGCCTGAAACATGCGCGGAAAATATCCCAACTCATCCACCTGCATCAGCGGTGGGAATCCGGCGACGGGAGAGAAGTTAGGGCAGTGGAGGACTGTCGGGAGCTCTTCATGCTCAATGTCGAGTTGCTCGAGTCCATCGCCGAGGATCTCCGGTTGGTCGATGATCAGTCGATGACTAGAGAGCGGGTTGACGGGATCAGGTCCCGGCTCAGCGCCATCGTGACTAACCACGAGACGTGCTATGACGGTTTGGGGGAGGCGAAGAGCGGGATTCTACGGCCGCGGGGGAACGGAATGGAGGCGGCGGCGTCGTTGGCTGCGGTGATGTTCAAAGTGAGAAGGCTGTACAGCGTGTCTTTAGGGTTGGTGACTCAAGAGCTAAATAGTAACCAAAAAGACCATCAACACCATCATCACCACCACCACCACCACCACCATCACCACCACCAGCATCAAGACCACGGCAACAGAGATAATGTTGAAAGCGGCTCCGACAAAAGACTTCCTCCCGCACCGGTCGCCCCAGTGGCCCCGGTAAACCTCTACCGGGAGCCATTGGTGCAGTTTATCAAGGTACGTACTAATTACCAATGATCTGGCTCTTCCACAAATCAACCACATCAACAAGTGCTTTATTAGAATTTCCATATTTACTTAAACCCCCTAAAGCTGTTTCTTTCAACTCCTCTATTTTCCAATCTTGGAACTCAAATGCAAAATTCAGGTGGGGTGATAGGGAGCTTGAGAGATTCGGTGAAGGAGGATGGACGTGTAATTGTGCATCTAGGCCGGTTGGTGTCCGTCGTAGATTGGGGGGTTAAAGTCTTGGGTTCACCGTGGTGGGTGATAATGAGGGCGAGCTGAGGCGGGGGTGGGAGTAGGGTTGGTGCAGTAACGTTGGGTGAAGGTTAGGTTTTCTTTAAGTTTAAGGTTTTTTAAGGTTTTTTTAAATTTTTTTAAATTTTTAAATTTTCTTTAATTTTTTTTTGGATATTTTCATGTCAAAATTTAATGTTGACCCAAAAAAAAAAAGTGTGAATTTGTGTAATAAACCTAAACTAAAGGTATATATATTATGAAATCGAAAACCAAAATTATACTTTTTGCATTAACCTAAAACAGACCCATAATATTTTCATTAAGTTTTTTAGCATATTTTTTAGAGCTATTTCCGCTGTTGCAGCTTGAAAATATTATAATTATTTTTTATCACATTATTCCGAAAATTAGACTTCGCGATGTATTTTAATTAAGTTTTGGTGGAATACTTTTTCCTTTGTTTCTCGCATAATTCTACATTAACAAATTGAGAGTACGTAATCCACCGCTTTTTCTGTTCTATTCGCATTGAAGCATCTTTCACCTGAAAATAAACCCAAGAAAGCGCTTCTTCCTACCAAATTTTATTAGTTGCGAATTACATCAAGATGTCTGTTTAGTCAAACAACATGTTTAATGCTTTTATATATATTAATTATATATAACTGAGTGAGGAGTTATCTATGGTAAAAAAAAAAAAAAAAAAATTAATGGCTACGATTTTCTTTGATTTACAGGAATTAAAGTCGACTAATTGCACTTCATCATCATCAAAATCCTGTCCAAAGGAAGGAGGTCGGATTCAGTCAGGAATGGAAGGGAAGGGAATTTTAATTCGCGATGTTGTTATCGTCAGCAAAGATGGCACCGGAAATTTTACAACCATAGGAGAGGCCATCGCAGTTTCACCTAATAATACAAGGCGTGAAGAGGGGTATTTTGTGATATATGTCAAACAAGGAGTATATGAAGAGTATATTGACATCAAAAGTAATAAGAGGAATATAATGTTGATCGGAGATGGTATCAATGCCACCATCGTTACTGGAAACCGCAACGCCAAAAATAAGCGCTTCACTACTTTCTACACTGCAACATTTGGTAAGTACATATTTCTTCATTGTTTGGTTATTACACTTGATTTTTAAACCAATTCACTAATCGGTATTTCTAAAGTGTATCGTATTTACTTAACTTTCAATTATATATATAATGATAATAATAACTAATGCTAGAAATCTCAAACTTTTATCTAATTTTTTATACTAATTACAGTTCTGTCATCCTTTCGTATGTGCATACAATATTTTAATATGTATTGATGTGACTGTTTTTTTTTTCTTCTTCTCCATTACAGCCGTTTCTGGTGATCGATTCATCGCCATAGACATTACATTCCGGAATACGGCAGGTCCAACAAACGATCAAGCTGTCGCGGTCCGAAACCAAGCTGACCTCTCAACGTTCTACCGGTGCAGTATCGAGGGCTACCAAGATACTCTCTACGCCCACTCTCGCCGGCAATTCTACCGCGAATGCGACATCTACGGCACCGTCGATTTCATCTTCGGCGATGCAGCCGCCGTCTTCCAGAACTGCAACATTCTCGCCCGAAAACCATTGTTCGGCCAAGCAGATGTTATCACCGCGCAGGGCCGGGAAGACCATTATCACGATTCTGGCTACTCGATCCACAATTGCACCATCACCGCAGCACCGGACCTCGCTGCTAGCCCGAACTACGCCCTGAGCTACCTCGGACGGCCGTGGAAGCCGTATTCGAGGACGGTTTACATGCAATCTTATATCGGGGGACTTATAGACCCAAGAGGATGGTTGGAGATGAACGGTGCAGAAGGATTGGATACTCTTTACTATGGAGAGTATGAGAATTATGGCCCTGGTGCTGATACTAGTAGGAGAGTTCAGTGGCCTGGTTTTACTTCGTTGAGTGCTTCAGATGCTTTGAAGTTCACTGTAGACAATCTTACTACTGGATCGTCTTGGTTGCCCGACACGGATATACCTTGTTCTGCAGGATTAATATTGGAGTCTTAGGTTCGTGTTACGTAGATAGTTTTTTCTTAGGTATTCTTTTTTTTTTCTTCTTCTTCAAGATTTAGTTCGTTTTTATGGGCGATCACTACTCTCTACTCTTCTCCTCTTTTTTGATTTTTCTCTCTTTAGTTTCTCTCCTCATCTTTACTAACGCGGACAATTTTTTTTTTTTTTTTCCACACGGGACAATAACTGCCTTTTTAGAGGAACGTCTCTATCTCGAGTGAGATTTCTTTACATGTATCTTATTTTTATTGTGTGTGTGTTCACTTAAACTCAATTTACATTAATAGTGATGAGTTTAGTCGACAAAAATTTTATATGGCCCGTTTAGTTCATTGATTCGAGTTTTTAATTCAAGTTAAGATGTAGAAAAAAATTACATGTGATTGTTTCTGAAAGTTTTTTACTATAATAAAACTCGAATTCTAAACTCAAATATGTGAAATGAACGGTCTTATATCTAGATGAAAATGCTTATTGTTATGTCTTCAATAAGTGAATACGTGCACGTTGACAAGAAAAACTTTAATCGTCCAAAATTCCAAATTGTGTAATTTTATTACAGGATCTCAAAATCAATTAGTATATCACAAATATAGATCAGATGAAAAGGAACAAAAATAAAAATAAAAACCAAAGGAACAAAAGCCCAAACAATTGAGTGCACTTTATTTCTTCAAATACTAGGCTTGTGAGGAACACCAGCACCTTCGATCCACTGCTTTCCCTGCAGAAACGATGTCACCGAGAATTTGTTTGCTTCTTTAAGGCTTATACTTCTCAGTCCCTTCCACTTAACCCGATATTTCGTGCTGGAACCGGGCCCGAAATTCTCGAACTCGGAGTAAAATATCGTCTCCGGCGCACTATTTCCGGTCCACGGTAGCCATCCACTAGGGTGAATTAAGCTCCCCATGTACGACCGCAAGTACACCGTTGTCGAGTAGTTCTTCCATGGCCGGCCGAGGTACGTCTGTACGGAAGACAGGTCTCCGTATGGCGAGATGGTGCAGTTTTGGATGGCGATGCCGGTGTTCTGGTTGGGATCGGTCTTGCCCTGGGCGGTGAGGGTGTTCCTCTGGCCCTTCATTGGGACACGTGGCAGGATGTTGCAGTTCTGGAAGACTGCGGCGGCGTTGCCGAAGATGAAGTCGACGGTGCCGTAGATGTCGCATTCGCGGTAGAATTGGCGGTTGGAGTGGGCGTAGAGGGAGTCCTGGAAGGCATCGACGCCGCAGCGGTAGAAGACGACCTGGTCGGCGCTCGCCATTAGTGCTACTGCCTGATGCTTGATCGCGCCGGCCGTATTGCGGAACCCCATGTCACGTCCGATGAAACCCTTGCCGAACACAGCTGAAGAAAAAAAAAAAGTTTGAATGAGCTTTGATCAACCGTCTAAAGCAGCATCATGTGATTTGATCAGCAGCATCATGTGTTTTGATCAGCAGCTTACGTATCATCATTTTACATCTAACTGAGTGTTCATGAGTAATTCTACAATACTCAAGAATCACTAACTAGTGGATAATAGCAAAATCAGGAGGTTTTTATAATATTAAAAACCTCTTCTTTGTGAGGTAACAAACAGTAGTAAAAACATCAGTTTATATAAAAGGGTTTTAATATAACTTGTAAAACCAAGGAACAAGCACTGCAGTTATTAAATAAATACTAGCAAAAAAAATAATATATATATATATATACAGTTTTTGTTACACTTTTAATACCACTTTGCTATATATATGGTGCCATATAATTTTCATTTTTTATTATTGTAACTTCAATGTGGAAAGATTTGAACTCTAGTACATTATGTCAGGTTAGAGTTTACACTTGCGTTTAATTATATTACATTAGATTATATTATGGCTGCAACCACTATTAAAAACTTATTCAACTTATTCGATAACTAATTCTTACGGTAAAGAAGGATTTGACGACTTTAGAAACGTTGACTTATACCTTGTCGTAATACCTAACCATAGAATCTCCATAGAAACCTAACCACATCAGTCAAAGTTTATTACATTACCATATGAAAGTTATTTATTACATTACCATATGAAAGTTATGTTTATGGTATATGTATATAAGGCCATGTATAAGGTTTAAGAGTGCAATTACATACCAAAAGTAGCACTTGAAAACGTGGGAGTGCCGTCGACAAAATTGAGGCTACCAGACACAATAGTGGCATTCATTCCATCACCAACCATCAAAACATTCCATTTCTTCTTCTCAACTCTCACATTCTCATTGTAAATCCCCTTCTTCACGTATATCACCGTCCTCTTCTTGTTCTTATCCTTCACCGCCTTAAGCGCATCTCCGATTTTCTTGTACTTTCCGGTCCCGTCTTTCGCCACCACGATATCGGCATTCTTCCGCAACTTCTCCGAGTCGTCAAGAAGAATTCTCCGGTCACCGGAGCTAAGCCATTCCGGCAGCACTTGGTCCTCTTTATTATTAACATCATCGCTTAGTAATCGCCTCAGCTTGAAAGAGCCGGTAGCCTTCTTAATCCAAGTAACGATGGCGAGACTATTACTAGTCAACTCAGTACTAGTCTTGAGAGGGTTAGCGATGGTGTTCTTTAGCTTGTTGTCGCCATCAAAACCTTCTATGCAAGTGTCAAAGCACGTCGCCGCTGAGCTTAGCCATGTCCGGAGGTCTTCAACGACGTCGTTTAGCGACTCGCCGGAGGACGACAACGATCTGGTTAGGTCGTCCATAGCGAGGGATAAAAGCTCACGGCAGTTTGTCAACGCCGCGGCAGGCAATTTCCCCAGAGTTGCGTTGAGATTCGAGAAGTATTTCGCCGTCTTCGACAGCTCATTGATCGCCACTTGGATCGAGAGCCGGGGGAGATCCTCCAGCGTGACGTGGCTGGAGTTGACCGCCGGCCGGAGAGAGCTGTAGCATGAGTCGGGGTGCATGGTCACGTCGCAGACGGCCTTGACGGAGGTGGAGAGCGATGTGCCTGTTGTGTCGCCGGCGCCGGAGCTCCGGCGACCGGAGGATGTGGTTCCGACTACAGCGGCAACGACGATGACGACGAGAATGAGAGACGATACGCATATGATGGCGACTCTCTTGCGGGTTTTCCGGAGGGCCTCGAGCCTTGCTTGCTCAGCCTCGTCGAATTTGCCGTAGGCTTTGAAGGAAGACATGTTGTTTAGCATATTTTGTGTGTGGTATTTTATTTTCAATTCGTTTAGATGGTTGTTGCATGCAATTTTGGTGAGGGTTTGGTCTTTTTTATATGGCAATCTTAGAGCAAATATAATATGAAATTACGCGGTGTTGAAACATTAACATGTTACGTGCTTGCCACTACGTGATTGATATATATATATATATATATATATATATATATAGTTGTAGTATATTTGAGTTTGAAATTTCAACTATATATTGGAGTGTGCTTCCCATGTTGGCTGGTTTATTTCTGATTGGGCTAGTTGAAAGTGTTTATTCGGTGTCATTTTCAATCTCCTGCTTTGTTTTTTTTTTTTTTTTTTTTGTACTTTTAATCATAAGAAAAGAGAAGTCAAAGTTTTGATTTTTGAATAAATGTGTGAAACGACTTTTCTAAACGAACTTATTAGGTCAACGTGATTTTATTATTTAAAAGCTATACTCAAATCCAAATTATAATTCTGGCGACAATGTTTTTTATCTCATAAAAAGTTTGAACGTTAAAATCTTCTCTCTCACAAAGTTTCTGTCAATGAACCCAAATCATATTTTGAGTATACCTTTCAAATGGACTCTAAAAGTTTCTAATATCAACATATATGATTTTAAACTTTTTAATAATCTAATACTACAATACTAGAAATTTTAATATGTCTCAAAATCTATTTAGAAGAGGTTTTTATTTTTTTTAAAAGCCGCATTTTGGGGTTTTGATTGTAAGTTTTTCGGAAAAGCCTTTCTTATGAATCATTCAGATACTTCCACAAGCAGCTATTGGACCGCTGGCTCATTATTATTATCAATTTTAATAGATATCATGGAACATCTAACTAGTGCTTAAAATGCAACTATAATCGTTTCCCTTTAATTAGGAATAAGTCAAAAAACAAAAATGCACACACATCTATTATGTGTGGATGAGTACTCAATAATAATGCTTCGGCACGTTCAACTGAGTATTCAGTATAATTAACTTAAAAGATGACCAATCTACACGTAGATGCAGTTGACTAACACAGTTTTCGGTTTGCACCGGCCGGGATCATTCTTGTCACTCTTTCTTGTACTGAAAGTAGAAGAAAGCAGCATTTTGATCATCTAATATTCTGAAGTTAGAAATGTCAATTATGACATGTGGTGCTAGCTCGATTTATTAAACCAAAACAAAAAAAAAAACAAAAAACAAAACAACAACATGTTGTGTTTATGTTATGGTAGAGGAGATATAAAAATTTCGAGTTTTTGAAATCCAAAATTTAGTAGCAGAAACTCTTAATTTTGCTAGCAAAAACTTTTAACGATTAAAAGAATTTGATAGTTGAAACCTTGGTCACGGAAACTTTTTGCTACGAAAATAAGTTTGGTCTCAAATCTTAGTTCAAGATCAAAAAACTTTGGCCGTGTTTGGAATTGATCCCGTTTTTGTTTTAACGTTTCTAAAACGGCGTTTTGGCGCAATAAAGATAAAAAACAGAAATGAAAATTATTTTTTAGTTTAGTGTAAAATGAGAGAGAAATGAAAAATGACTTTTAGTCGTTTTTCATTTTTTATTTTCGTTTTCTCCTCTCTCAAGATAAGAGAAAAAGATAGACATTAATGAGTTTTTTTACACTGAAAATAATCTCTTGATAAAACTACCAAATGCATTTTCAAAAATGATTTACGTCTGAGATTGAAAACGTTTTCATTTTCATTTTCATATAAAAAATAAAATCATTTTGAAACAAGTTCTAAACGTGCTCTTTAAAATCCAGCCCGAATCTTGAGCACATTCGGAGCTCGTGCTCGTGTTTATGTCTACTTCTAGACCTATCATTGCAACCCCATTCAGCTCTTGCGTCTTTTATTTTATTTTTGGAGTGTTGAAAAGGTGATTTTGTTATGACACAATTCAGAGTAAATGAAAAAAATAATTATTATTATTCAGAGTGGAATAAAATAAGTAGTTGTGTATTTATGACACATCACACAATCTATCAAATATTTAGATCTGTAAGTCTAATCTAAAACTAATTTTACATGTACAATCTGACTGTGCCTAGATCGTAAGAGGGTTAATTTGTTTCTACACTGACCCGTCAAAATCTAGTTTTTTTTTTTTTTTAGATGCATCTAAACGAGGAATAAAGTCGGGCTGCAATGTGTAACAATACTAAAACAAGTTCCTATGAAATCTTTTCTACCAAAAATAAATAATAATAATAATACTAAAACAATTTTATATTGTCCATAAAAAAAAAACAAATTATTCAAATGAAATAACAGGAAAGAGAATTATAAAACTTTTCCTCTCTCTTGAGTGGCTAGGGTGTTTCTCCTCCAGAGGCCGTCGGTAAGTCTGCACTTGGTGGGGGTCGGATTGGCTAAGCCGCCTCCTAGCGGTCTCTAGCCTCCCGGCCCTATTGGTTTTTTGCTTTTTTTTTTTAGTTTTTTTCTTTGTTTTGCAAGTGGATGGTGCTCATCCATGGGTAGGGTGGATCTTAGCATATCTGGGCTTGGTTTTGTTTTGTGGTTCACCTTCCAAATGTTATGTGCTACTGCGCTGAGAAGATTGCAAAGGTCATCGTGGTCGAGTTCGTATCGTTGGAGGTGTGGGAAGTTTCCGGTTTGGAGCCGTGTAAGGGGAAGATGCCACTGCTTTTCAATCGTAGATTTAGGATGCACCCGCCGAGGGATCCTACTAAAATCACGGGAACTAGGTTGAAAGAGGGAGGCGAGGGAGCCTTTTATCAAAGCTGTTCTTACTGGTCTTCTCATTTTTCTAGCTTTGATGGACTCAATCTTGTTGGTTGATCTTTTGGAATCTTTATAAATGTTTTAATGTTTTTATAGTTTTTGTTTATATTTGTATTGTAATAACGGTGATGGTTTCCTCATCTACATGTGTTTTGTCTCAGCTAGAGGGTAGTCTTCCCACCAATCTATGTTTGTAGTGTGTCTCTCATATAGAGGTTGATTTCGCCACCACTCTAATACTGAGTTGCGTGATATAGGTCCATTGTTGGACTAGGATGTGGCTCATCTTGAGTCATTTTTACGCTGCCGAACCTTGTTTTAGTGTCACTTTGTGGAGGAGTTATCTCTGTTTTTGTGATGGGTCCATTTATATTGTCTAATCATGTGAGTGACACCCTTTTTTTAACTTTGATGTTGTCTTGTATCCTAACCCTTTAGTGGCTATTTAATGAATATATTTCATTACCGTTAAAAAAAAAAAGTTTATAGTGCTTTTACTGTTGCAATATGAAGGGGGCCAGGATACAAATATTTGCTTCTGGACAACAAGATTTGGTAAGGAAAAATGAATGGGATAAAAGAATTACATGCACGTAAAGAAAGAACAAAGTCAATTGAATTTGCTAACTTCCTATGTAACAATATAGCTAGGAGTCAACAAAGAGATAGGAGGCTTGATATATAGGAGGATTTGCTGTGTGCAACAAAGAGATATCTGATCAAAAGAACATAGTAAAAACCATAGGAGTCAACGCAAAATTTGGGACATCTCGCTACTCTCGAAGAAGCTCAGAATCTTAAAGAAAGTCCCGAACATACCATCAGACTCAAGCAATGATCCAAAGTGTTGATTATCAAAAAAATAAAATAGGAAAAACGATATATCCAAAGGGCTGGAAAGAAACATACTTTTGATCTAAAGGGTTAGAACAGAAAATTGATTTTATAATAACAATAAGAAGCAAAATTTTGATAACGTTGTACAGAAACTAGACTATAACGAGTCGTATATGTGGCCCAATGATCCTAAATCAATAATCCAAAGTGATAATTATCATTAAAAAAAAATGATCCAATTGGGTTAGAAGGAAACGTACTTTTGATGAAAAGGGTTAGAAAAAAAAATACATATAGTTCTTTAGTAATAAGCATAAACAAAATTTAATATAGGAAAAGAAACTAGACTAACTAGTTATATATGTGGTCAATGGCCCCTAAATCAATGATCCAAATTGTTGATTATCAAAAATTAAAAAGTGTCCTATGGGAAGGAAACATACTTTTGATCCAAAGGCTTAGAAAAAAAATATATATATATATATATATATATATATGTATGTATGTATGTATGTATGTATGTAGTATAGTAATAAGCTGAAACAAAATTTAATATAGTAAAAGAAACTAGACTAACGAGTCATATATGTGGTCTATGGCCCCTAAAACAACGATCCGAAGTGTTGATTATAATAACAATTATTAAAAAAACAAAAAAGCAAAAGCAAAAAAAAAAAAAGATCCAAAGGGTTAGAAGGAAACATACTTTTGATCCAAAGAGTTAGCAAAAATATAAATATAGTTTCATGATAGTAAGCAGAAACAAAATTTAATAATATAGAAATAGAAACTAGAATAACAAGTCAAATATGTTGTCCATGTCCCCGTAACTCAAAGACCCAAAGGGTTGGTTATCCAAAATTAAAAAAACAAAAACAAAAATAAATAAATAAATAAAACGACTGAAAAGGTTTGAAGGAAATATGGAATGGAGCATAAAATATTGGTTAGCAGTGGGATAGGGTATGAAATATGTGATCAATATTGGAATTAATTAGCATTCTGATTTTCCCTCTCTCTTTCTCTCCATCTTAAATAGTCATAAACCTCTCCGAGAGATAGCAGATCAGAATCACTATACGCCCTCCTTAATAGCAAATCACACCGATCTTGATGAAATTCATTATTCAAACCATCCAAAAATTGAAATACTCGATCCTGCTCTTGAAGCTTCTGAAACTTTTTTCTATCGTCACTAATATCATCACTATATAAACCATATTCATACCAAAGACGGTTCATGAGATTATAGTAATTAGTGACCGACATATTTCCTTGCTTAGTCTCACGAATCTTACTCCAGAGAAGATACTTTTGAGCAGTGTTACGTTTGTCAATACCGTAAGCTGCGTTGACTGTATCCCATATACGTTTTGCGGTTGGATAATACACGAAGAG